CAGCTAAAGCAGAAGTAAAAGATGAAGATTTAATTTGTATGTTACTATTGAGTTTACCTAGCACATATGAAACTGTTGTGACAGTAATTGAAAATATTAAAGATGTAACTTATGAAACTGTAAAATCAAAACTATTAGCTGAATATGATAAACGCCAGTTGAGCAGTGCCAGTTCAAATATAAAAAGTAGAACTCCAACAGCTTTTGCAGTACAAGGTAGCTGTTTTAGATGTGGTCAAGCAGGACATTTCAAAAGGGACTGTAAAATGAAGAATTCAAGTCAAGAAGTTTCCAAGCAATACAGAGGTGGCTTTCAAGGGAGTAACAACGTTAAATGGCAAGTCGAAGGAAGTTCAAGACGTTACAGAGGAGGTTTTCAACTGAATAACCCTGGTAGAGGATTTAGAAGTTTTAATAGAGGTTATGGTAATTACAGAGGTAGATTTGAAGGTAGGGGTAGATATGTAAACAATAATGTTAATCATGCAGAGGTTACAAATGATAGGCGAGATAATGTAGATACTTGTAATAATGATAATGCTGATGAAAAATATAAGAGTGTATGTTATATGGGTGATAAATCTTTAGAAGAAACAGAAAATATTGTTGATATACATGATTTAATATTTTATATTGACTCGGGGTGTACTGATCACATGGTTAATAAAAAACATTATTTTAAAGATTTAGTAATGCTTAAAGAACCTATAAAAATTGCAGTTGCAAAGGATGACAGTTATTTATTAGCCATGGGAGTTGGTAATATTGAAGCCATGAGTATAGTGAATGACTGTAAAATCAGAAATCATATTAAAAATGTTTTTTTTGTGCCTGATCTAAGAAAGAATTTGTTATCAGTTAAGAAATTGGAAGCTTCAAATATTAAAGTATTATTTGATAAAGGTATGGTTAAATTGTTGGATGTAAACAATGATATAATTGGTTTAGGAAAAAGAAATAATCTGTATGAAATATATTTTAAAATAAATACGCCAGAGAGTTTAAATGTTCAATCAATTAATAATGATTTCATGAAGTGGCATAAACGATATGGTCATATAGGTTTTTCAGGTTTAAAAGAAATTATAAAGTCCACAATGGTTAAAGGCATAGAAAATGTAGAAGTTCAAGAGGTAGAGTTTTGTGAACCTTGCATAAAAGGTAAAATGTCTAGAATTCCTTTTAGCACTAGGAGAAAGAGTACTAGAATTTTAGAAATTATTCACACAGATATTTGTGGTCCTATAACTCCAGAATCAATTAGTGGTAATAAATATTTCATAACTTTTATAGATGATTTTTCTAATTTCACTGTAGTTTATTTGTTAAAAAAGAAAGCTGAAGTTTTTGAATATTTTAAAGAATTTGTTAACATGGTTGAGTCAAAATTTAATAATAAAATTTCTAAGTTGCGTTGTGATAATGGGGGTGAATATATATCTAAGGATATAACTAGGTTATGTAAAGATAAGGGAATCATCTTAGACTATACTGTACCATATACGCCAGAACAAAATGGTAAGGCTGAAAGGAAAAACCGTAGTTTAGTTGAGAGGAGTAGAGCAATGTTAGAAGATGCAAATATGCCCAAAGAATTTTGGGATGAAGCTATATTAACAGCAAATTATTTGATAAACAGAGGTATTACAGCAAATTTGAAAGGAGTTACACCAGCCCAAGAATGGTATGGTACCAAGCCTGATGTAAGTAATTTAAGAATTTTTGGATGTAGGGCATATAGTCTTATACCGAAACAGTTTCGAGGAAAATTTGATTCTAAAACTGAAGACTGTATAATGATAGGTTATGCTCCTACAGGATACAGATTGTGGAATACAGAAAAGCAAAAGATTATAATATCTAGAGATGTCAAGTTTGATGAGAATACCAGTTATTTTAAAACAGAAATTGTTAACACTACAAGCAATGAATGTATTCCAGAAATAAATGAAGATGAAGAGATGGAGGATAATTCAGGGAATCAATATGAAATTGGAGAAGAAATAGGTGATGACCAGGTAACAGGAAATATTACAAATGAAAGGAAAAGAGTTGTAAAAATTCCAAGTAAATTTAATGATTATGAATTATATATGGCATTTAGTGCTATGAGTTTTATTAATAATGTTCCTGAAAATTTTTTGGATTTAGAGAACAGGTTAGATGGAAGATATTGGTTAAATGCTGTTGATAGAGAACTGAACTCCATAAGAGAAAATAACACTTGGATACAAGTAAAAAAACCTGAAAATGTCCAGATATTAGATACAAAATGGGTATTTACCTATAAGAATTTTGAGGAAAATGAAACTGACAAATATAAGGCAAGATTGGTTGTTCGAGGTTTTGCACAAAATAATGAATTATATAATGTTTACTCGCCAGTTGCAAAGATGACTACCATCAGAATACTTTTGATTATAGGAAATCAATATAAATTTTTTTTTCATCAATTAGATGTAAAAACAGCCTTTTTGAATGGTAAGCTAGAGGATGATGTCTATATCTTTCCACCACAGGGTGTAAAATTCATGAATGATAATGTTTTTAAACTTGAAAAGTCTCTTTATGGCTTAAAGCAATCCTCGAGATGCTGGAATAATGAGATTAATGATAACTTGTTAAAATTAGGTTTTAAACGCTCTGAAAATGATGTTTGTTTGTACACATTGAAATTGGAAAACAAAATATTATATTTACTGATTTATGTTGATGATATTATATTGGCTGGTCCAAATTTTGAACTGATAACAGAAATAAAAAGGGTATTAATGGAAAAATTTAAAATGAAAGATAAAGGTGAATTAAAATATTTTTTAGGACTTGAAATTTGTTATGATCGTGAAAGTGGTATTTTAGAGATAAATCAAAATAAATTTATTGAAACTTTAATCAAACGATTTGGAATGGAAAACTGTAAAACATCATTAATACCTATAGATCCAAAATTAAAATTTGATTTATATATTGATAGGAAAGTAACTGAGAAACCTTTTCGTGAATTAGTAGGATGCTTGATGTATTTAGTTTTAGGTACTAGACCTGACATTTGCTATGCAGTGAATTATTTTAGCCGATATCAAGATAAGGCATCAGACATAGCTTGGACTTATATTAAAAGAGTTCTCAGGTACTTGAATGGTACAAAAGATATATTTCTGAAATTTAAACGTTGTGATAATTTTGAAACAAACTTTCTTTGTTATGTTGATGCTGATTGGGCAGGAGATTGTTATGACAGAAAGTCAGTCACAGGTTTTTTATTCAAGATCTTTGATTGTACTTTTATGTGGGTGACTAAAAAGCAAAACTGTGTTTCTTTGTCAACAACAGAGGCGGAATTAGTTGCTCTTTGTGCAGCAGTGAGTGAAGGATTGTGGTGTAAAAAATTGTTGAATGATTTTGATTTAAATGTTAGGAAGTTAACAATTTTTGAAGATAATCAGGGTTGTATTGCTTTAATCAGAAATCCTTTAAATAATAAAAGAGTCAAACATATAGATTTGAAATTTAAGTTTATAGTTGAGCAGTTACAAAAGGGATTTCTTGATTTATGTTATATTGAATCCTGTAACAATCAGGCAGACATTTTAACAAAAGGTCTACTTACGAGTGCATTTTTGAAACATTGTAATTTGTTAGGATTAGTTTAAGTTTTTGTTTATATTGTTGTGAGGATTTTAACGAGGAGGGGTGTTAAAATATATATCAACTCTACGTTAAAATCTTTATTAGAGAGTAGGTATATTATACAGACACTAATTATATATAAAAAAGAAGAAGATTTAGTTTGTAAGATAGGTATAGGTTAAGTAGAAGGTAGAACGTGGTAGAATACTGGTGAAGGGATATTTCAACATTGTACAATTTACTTTAAAGAATAAAGCTTGGAAGAAGATAAATGGTGTATTATTAAATGTAGAAATACAGACAACAAATCTAAAAGTTTAAAATAAATAGTATACTTTTGAACTTAAAATATGGATTTAATTACTTTTTCTGAAAGTCGTGTAATAAGTTCTGTCGATTGTTCGAAGGTTTAATAAGTCAAAAATCTAATTTTTTGTTAATAATGGAAGATTAATACTCAACTAATACCAAAATACTTCGTAACCCAATGCGTTTTCAATATTATTTACAAAAGCTTTTAAACCTTTTTTTGAATAGAATAGGTTTTATTAAATTTTTCGAAGAAGTGGTTTGTTGCATTGCTACACTTTTAATATAGGTATAATAAATTATACAACACACAGTATAATTTAATCAGAATCTCCGAATGTGACGTCATGTAAATAGAAAACAAAATTAGCTATGTTCCTTTAAAGTTAAAATATTGTATTAAAACGTTTTGTTACTGCGCAATGAACATACCTTTCTGTGTATATATGTGTTCCATGAAAATATACCATCTTTGTTGTGAACGCTTTGTTGCCTAAGTTTCGATTACCGAAAATCGGTTATTTTTAGGAAAAATGGAAAAATTAATATAAAAACTAATATCATGTGAGAAAATCGACAAAAATTTTATTTCTTGTAGTTGAACCAAATTTTTTCTTTGGTAAATACTGATTGACATTGAATTTAAAACAACTAATACGTTAATGCTATTATATCAATATGAACATAATATTATAAAATAGGAAACACAAAAAATACATTGCAACGTAAATTAGGTTGACAGTTTTCTTATCATTTCTCTAATGTGTTTTATTCTCTTTATTATTATAAAATATAGTAAAATTAAGATAAGGCAGATAACTAGTTTTGAAATTATTAAACTTTAAAGTTGTTTTCAATATTTAACAAAGAATAATAAAATAATAAACAGTACAAAATGTTTCTAATAAATATATTTCCAATAATATAAGATACCTTCATTAAAATAAAAAATTTGAGGCAAATTTCTTGTAGATCGGTAAATCTAAAGATAAAAAGATAACAGCGGCATCACTGTCTAGAGAATCGATAGCTGTTGGGGGTAGTAGGCTGCTTCTTGTAATAGTTGAATTTCGTGTAGTTCCGTGATAGAAGGTAGTAATGGAGGTGATCACTAGTTCAAATAAACATAATGTATACAGTGAAATATTTTTATACAATTCTTCTGCAAGTACAACTGCTAAATAATTTGTGAAGGACATTTGGTGCAAACAATAATTATCAAAACCTTTAGACATACAAAAAAATACTTCATTCCTGAAAGAAAGGGTCTTACCCAAATGGTCATTACATTTTTATGTAAAAATCACATATTATGTACCTTGTTATGTTTGTATAAAACATTTAAACAGACACAAAAAAATTTTAATAAAAGAAAAATTCAAGCCAAGTTGATGAATAATACTTAAACTAACAGTTTCAACATGAGTGATAAAGGGGATAAATCATCCACTAGCAGTAACAGTCCAACCAAAACAAGGAGTGCTGCAAGTAGTGCCCGGAGTAGTCCAAATACAAGAAACGGTCCAAATAATACTAAGAATAGTCCAAATATATCTAAAAGTGTTCCCAGTACTTCTAGAAATAGTCCAAATACATCTAAGAATGGTCAAAGTGTTTCTCGGACTGGTCTGAACACATCCAGATCTGTTTCAAACAGTTCCTCGGCTAGTTATAGCCAACAAAAAGAAGAAACTTTTGTATTTGAAGAGCCTCCAGAAGCTATAGTACTTAGACCAACAAGAGAAGAGTTTGAGGATCCTCTTGCCTTTATTGCTACAATAAGACCACGAGCGGAAATTTATGGAATATGCAAAATAATACCACCAGAGGTAGGTAAAGCTTTTTATTTTAGAAAATATTAAATATATTGATTATCCAATGCTGAAATTCAGATATTTTCATTGTACAGGCAATTCCACTTGCATATAATCCTTTATTTTATATTCATTTACACTATATGACAAGTGAACCTGAAAAATATGCTTAAAATGTTAAAAATTAAGGACATCTATTTGTTTACTTTACTATTATTGGACTCATTTTCCATTACTTATATAATTCCGAAAATTTTAAGATTAGATGTATACATCACAAAATATTAAAGTATATACTTACTTAGTCCTTAATTTTTATGGTTTTACATATTTACTTTTCTGAATTGTTACGAAATTTTTTACATTCATCCCTATTTGCTAATATTGTCAATTTTTTGGTTTTCCTCTGTTTTTTGCTTATATTATGTCCACACTTAGCAACTCTTTATAATAGATAATTCATTCCAACCTGGAACATGTTAAGCTACACATTATCATTTTGACTTCACATTATATAGACTTCTAATCAGTTGGTTTTTATTTTTATTTCTGCAACACACATTGTTCTTTTCACTTTTATATAAAAGCTACTTATTATATAGACATTGTATATGAGATAGTATAAGGCTGTCTTATATAATTAACCTTTCAGCTACATTAAAACTTTTATGTTGTTACAGTATACCACTAGTTTCAAGTTTTAATGTCATTCAAGATTGTTTCACCCCATATATTCTTGACTGGCTTTACCTACAACTCAGGTTGAGTTTCACTGCATTCGCTATACTCCTTCATTTTCTACAATCTTGCATTTCCATTTCTTATTCTTGTATACCAATCCTAGATAAATCTGCCTTATTATCATCCTTTCATCTTTTTCTGGAATAAAGTATATTCATTTAGCAAATTCCCATCTGTAAACATACGCATGTGTTGATATTCGCACTCTCATTCGTCAAGATTCTATTAAATATAATTTATTGCCTTAAGCCAGACGGATTCTCATATTACAGTTCCAAACTTGCCAGAGTTCAAATTGTAGAGTGTTGGTTTTTAAGTTAATGTATTGTGTGTTATAGTTATTGTTAAGTTATTTACTGGTCGTGGTATTTTTTAGAGTGTAGTTTAAGTGTTATTTAATGATTAAATTTCATGAAATTCTTAGACTAATAGTTTCAAAAGTAAATATTTTAAAAAATCATATACACTTCAGTACAACCCTGTTTGGCTTTTACGTGCGTCTGTTGACAATTGGGAATATGTAAAATGAATGTAGTTTAGCTTACTGATCTTCCACCGTTTGGTATCTCAAAAACACTGACTTTAGCACTCTGTCTTCCTTTGATCTTATCACATGACCTTGCCTGGTTAGCTTTTATATGTCTGACAATGTTTTCAGTTCCATACAGAGTCACCAATTCAGCATTACAGTGCCTTCTCCACTCTTCTGTCAATTCATCCCTTTGAGGTCCAAATATCATTCTGATAACCTTCTATTTGTTTCCTGCTAATGTAGAGTCTATGTGTAACAACTGGGCAAATACTTAATTGACATATATACAGTCTTAATTTAAATTTTCTTTTTAGAAACTTAGATCTTAATAATGATAATAGGGAGTATAATGCTCTATTCCCGCATTTATCCTTGCCGAGACCTCCTTTTTAATATAGTTCACTAATAACCACATATATTTCACTAATTACAAAATATAAATACATATATTTTTGATTCATACCATTTCACTAATTAACAGACCCTGTTGGGTCCTGGCGGTCCCAATGTTATTTTTGGTTGGTTTATTTTTGCCCCAGTTGTATAATATAGTAAGAAAAACATATTTAAACAGAAAACCTAATGTAGATATAATAATAACATTCTTATGATTCTCCAAAATCATAATAATAAAAAAATCTAGTTTCATTGCTACATTACAAAAATAATAACATTCTTTGTATAAAAGTATAACCCATATTTTATACAAGGTGGTCCGTAAGTAATTGTACAAACAGAAACTGTAGATTCGGCACTTTAAAATATTATGATTTAAGCCAACTTGCTTTAATAAAATGTTGATATTAAGAAAGATACAGGGTGTTAAGTGGAAATTTAAAATTTTTCGCTTTAACTTCTATGTTTATAAATATTTTTGGACAAAAATTTACAATTGGATGCTTTTGAGTGGGATAAATTATAATTTTATACATACTTTAATATAACTGATGGAGGGCGCCACATGCCACAAGTGTGACAAATTTGTACTTTACCTTTTTGGCTTTTTTCGTTAGCTCTATTCTTGTTAACAAATATTAAAGATACATTATGTTTATAAAAAAAAGATATACTTGTGAGTAACCTTAAACTTCAATCAATTTCGAGATAATCGCATTTTATAAGTCAGCTGCATAATAATTACCCAGCTGTAAATAAGCATAATTCATAGTTTATTCTTATTAAAACAACTCAAAGATGATAATGTAACATCACAAAATCGTTTATTATAGCTGCTTAATGTCTAATTACAGAAAATATTCCTCATCTTCTTTAGGTGCCATGTCTGTATTCAGATGTTGGCCATCATCGTGTTTACAATTTTTTTTTTCTATGGCTTCTTAAGTTTCTATACTGACGTTGTACTTTTTCTCCATTGTAACATGCTGAAGACCCAAAATATGTGGTTTATGCAAGATGCTAACATAACATAACAATATCTTTATTTTTAGAAAATAATATACATTCAGTGAATATAAAATTATTTAAAAAAAACAGTGTCACAAACGAAAATATTATTTACTTATTCCTAACCGTTACATATGCAAATAGTCCTCCATAGAATATGGCTCAAGAGCTACCAGTAATTTAAATATTTGATGTTTATACACACTTAATCTTTCCTCCCTTTTAATAGGTTCAGGCAGTTTATTAAACAATTTGATGCAGCAATAAAGAGCGTTTTTTCTGTTATACTTAACCTATGTATTGGAATTTTATAATTATATAACCTGGTATTTACTATACTATTGGGCTCAAAGTTCCTAAATAGTATTTTATTTTTATATAGAAACAGTAAGCATTCTTGAATAAATACAGCGTAAACTGTTAAAATATTATTACTCCTAAAGTGCCCTCTACATGATTCCCTACTTTTTAAGTCAAACATAACTCTGATTATTTTTTTCTGAACCAGAAATACATTATTTATGTCCCTACTGATTATTTTTTTCTTATTTGTTTCTTATATATATATATATATATATATATATATATATATATATATATATATATGTATTTGAAATACATTATTTATGTCCCTACTGTGTCCAAAATTTATTAGACCATATCTAAATTTTGCTTCAAAATTAGCATGATACACTGTTTTTAATGAGTTACTATTCATGTATTTTTTTAGAACTCTAAAGCTGTAAATCACTTTACTCAAAGACATACATAACTGGTCAACATGTTTATCCCAACATAAAAAACTATCAATATATAATCCTAAAAATTTGGTACTGCTAAAGTGTCATTATTTACAATAATACTGTTTGGCATATCTGAATGTGCATAATTTGTCGTAAAAAGAAGATCTGTTTTATTTTGATTTAAAACCAACCTATTCATAGAAAACCAGTCTTTAGCTTTCTGGAACTCTAAACTAGCATTAACGCTTAGAACAGACATGTCTTTACCACTGACTAAAATGTTTGTATCACAACACCATATTCTAGAGAGAAGGCAGTGAAAATATATTTAAATACAACCTTTGAACGTTGGATTGGTCGTAGTAGTCATATTCCTTGGCAATGTGGTGAGATATTGATATAAGTATTTAATTCATAAAAAATCCAAAATAATACTTATTTTCATTACGTAAATTGTTTACCCGTTTTTATTAAGACAATTAGAATCTAGAGCACAGGTATTGAATAACACATATGTGTCTTGTTTCATAATACTTTTGCTACAAATCCAACCTTAAAGACTCAACATTTTTACAAAAACATCATCTTTGATCTAATAACCAATATTGTTATAAATATAGTAAACAGACAGACAATTTAGTTTAACATAATATTAGTTCGTTAGTAAATCATAATAGTCCATTTGTTTGAGATGTAATTATAGTTACTCGTAAGCTGTCACATAATCATATAAATAAGTAATGTCATCGATAGGATATTTCATGTGTGTATATAAGTAAGCAATTAACGAGATACATCACAGTTTAATACATTATTTAACCCCTGCTAGAAATAAGATGTAGTTCCATAATATACCGTAAGATTTGGATATGTATCCAAAAGAATATATTCATCCATTATACATTATAGCCACCAAGTAGCCCAGAATTTAATACACTTGATTTTGATGAATGCGGCGCATTGAAACATTCGCAACCAGCTATGGAAAGAAATAAATATTTCAGCAGTTTCTTTAGAACTAATGATGCTATTTAATATGAGACAATCTTCTAGCTAATATATTTACAAATGAATTAAAGAAAATTTTGGGCGTATCGAACACTTCCTTTGACAAAAAGTTATGTTATTTAGTTTAATTATTTCTTAATTTGGTTTGTAAACAAAATATTTTGATTATGACTTTAATTTAACATAAAATGTAAAATGTTTGATGTAAAATCCTATTATTCTATTATTTTGTCAAAACCTATTATTAATTATCCTGCTGATATATTTATTTTATTTAATATTTCGTTAACTATTAACTTTAGTTAAAAGTATTGCCTTTAATCCTTTAATTAATAAACCAAAATTTAGAAGTTATAATGTTTTTGTCTATTTTGTGATTATTTTGTGATATTTTTTTTGTTTGTTAAAATAATGTATCTTTAATATTTTTGCTCACAAGCAATTTATGCCATATATGTGGCGCCCTTTATCAGCTACATCAAAGTGTGCATCAAATTAAAATTAAAACTAAAATCTTAAATTAGCACTTTAACACCCTGTATCTTTTTTAATATCAACATTTTATTAAAGCAATTTTGCTTAAAGTG